AGAGAAAAATTTATTAATGAATGCAGTCAGTAACAAAATATATTCAATACAGACTCAGATAGAATTCCAAAAACCCATTCAACAAACATTGCAAATAAGATTTCTAAATATAAGTAATGATTTGTCTTTAGGACTCTCCCTTCCATCGGCACAAGCTATTTTAGTAAAATGGTTAAAAGTTGCTGGACACAAAGACATCAAGTTGAAGGAATTGAAACAAATTGCAAAGGAAAGAAAACTCAAAATGCTAAGAAATGCAGACAAAGATGCACATGTGCTGGCTATAGCAGCAAATTTGTTGTCAAAAGGGGATTGCATTTTAGCTGAAAACTGTCAATTAGATAGAGTAATAACAGCTGATGTTACAGTTGTAACAGGCTCGATTCAGACATAATTTATTCATTCCATTGTTTATCCATCAGACTATTCACCTTAAAATTGGTTGTGATTTATCCATAGTCTCTTTGCGTTTTTAAATTGGTTGGGAAGCCAAAATTTTTCCTGTATTAAATAATATTGTTCTAAAATTTGACTCTTAAATTTACTATTGGTCTCCAGCTTATTTTGTAAAATTCTCTCTAGGTTTCTATGGAAACCAGATTTGTCACCTGAGAATATCCAAACCTGTTTATTGTAATAACCAGGACAGGTTTCTATGGAAACCAGATTTGTCACCTGAGGATATCCAAACCTGTTTATTGTAATAACCAGGCCAGGTTTCTATGAAAACCAGATTTGTCAACCGAGAATATCCAAACCTGTTTATTGTAATAACCAGGCCAGGTTTCTATGGAAACCAGATTTGTCAACCGAGAATATCCAAACCTGTTTATTGTAACAACCAGGCCAGGTTTCTATGAAAACCAGAATTGTCACCTGAGAATATCCAAACCTGTTTATTGTAATAACCAGGACAGGTTTCTGTGGAAACCAGATTTGTCACCTGAGAATATGCTGTTTATTGTAATAACCAGGCCAGGTTTCTATGGAAACCAGATTTGTCACCCGAGAATATCCAAACCTGTTTATTGTAATAACCAGGCCAGGTTTCTATGAAAACCAGATTTGTCACCTGAGAATAACCAAATTTGGTTTTTACGAAATACAAATATGGTTTTTAATGAATATCCAAGTCTGGTTTTACTGCAATTTTTCCAGACCTGGATTTCTTTAAAAAACCAGGAAAAAAAAAACAGATAAAAGCCAGCTAAAAACCAGTCTGGTTTTCCAGAATTTTTTCCTGTGATTGCTGGCAGGTTAAAACAAGTCATTTCCAGCGTAGTTTCACCGGACCAGACCTGCTCGGTTCCGCGGCGGTTTATAGGAGAGAATGTGCGTCTTCTGGCTGATGCTCTCCTTTTTGCTAAACAAACAAAACGACCTCTTGCTCTACTCTCTCTCGACCAAGAGAAAGCTTTTGATCGCGTAGACTGGGGCTTTATGCTTCAGATATTACATAGAATGGGTTTTGGCCACAGCTTACTCTCTTGGGTCCACCTGTTCTACACGGGCTTGTACTCTTCAATTATTGTAAATGGCTTCTGCACTCCCCTCTTCCCTCTTAGTAGAGGGGTGCGTCAGGGATGCCCACTTTCTGTCTCCCTTTATGTTCTGGTGGCTGAGACACTAGCATGCTAGCTCAGGGCGTGCCACAACCTCAGAGGACTTTCTCTTCCTGATACTGAGGAACGAGCGTTATTATCACAGTATGCAGATGACCTCACCGTCCTGTGCACGTCGGACCAAGAAATTCATAAGGTTTTTGAGGTCACTGACAGCTTTGGTCAGGCATCAGGGTCTAAACTTAACATTGAAAAAAGCAAGGGCCTTTGGGACGGATGCTGGATTGGCCGGCAAGCCGCCCCTGTTAATATCCAGTGGGCGTCAGACCACATTACATGTCTTGGTGTTGCCATAGGAAACGGCAATGTGGATCGGCTGGTGTGGGAGGGTCGGCTGGACACCCTCCGCAAAACTCTACACTCCTGGCGTCAACGCTCTCTCTATCTCTGTCGGGGAAGGCCCTGGTTCTCAACGCTCTTGCCCTGTCTGGGCTCTGGTACACTGCCACGATAGCTCACATGCCAGACTGCAATCGTGGACATAAATGCTTGACAATTTTTCGCTGGAGCATTAAAAATACKGTATCGTGTGCATAAACTGAAAATAAACTGAAAGTAAACCGTTATTTCTCACTGAAAATGAAGTCTATTTSTACTTTTTATGGGCTAAGACGTATTTTCAGTTGTTCSRTATTTATAWTGTATAAAGATTTTAATCGTGTTAACACATTTGAGACCTTTTCTAGGCCAAAAAGTAGAAAGTCCTCTGTACGGTTTACATAGCGGAAATGACCTCATTCGCGCTCGCACGAAAGTCCACTGTATTTTATGTGAATATTTGGGCACATGCGACTTCGTAAGTGTATTGAGTAACTGAGGATTTCTCCAAATTAATATCTCAATTGATTTCTTTCTTGTTTATGCTTGATTAATGAGATTTATCCTATTTTTATAGAAGCTATATCGCTATCCATGGCAATGTCTTGGACAATTTTTTAATGTATTGTTTCTTATTTCTGGAACTTTTTACTGTATCAGCTGCTATATTTTGCTTTATTAGCCTTGTTATGTTGCTCAACGTGTATTAGGTGAAATAGGCTTTCTTTGGAGCTCACATTTGGACCTCTCTACAGAGAACAAAGGAGTTTGGACTCATAGATTGCTTTGGCATGATGTCGCGTTTGTGCACATGTTTAGCGTGATTTCCGTCACAATACCAAAATGCCATTTTTCGTAACCTGTTCACTATTAATTCGTAAACTTTTCCTACGAANTGCCAATCTTATACAGTCACAAGCGGAACCCCAATTGCTCTTTGATGGCCGTTTGGTAGTCACGGCTAACAAACGCCCAAAACGCAAGATCGAAGACATGCCAGCGTGGGTCGAGGCGTTTACGGTGTACACGCTGATTTTGGCTTCAACCTTTACCCATCGCTGGAGGGACTTAACTCTGTATAAGTTATTAATTCTCCGCACGTCGCGACAATTTGGCTCGGCCACTGCGCTCAAATATGACCAGGATTTTCGTCAGAACGCGGCTGCCATGCGGCTGACGGATTGGTCAGACATTAACGTCCAACTATATAGTTTTCACACAGCCGGGGCGGGAACTCGACCAGCGCKGAACGACTCARAAGAAGCATCGGGCTCGCCCAAYTCGGATGTCATTTGCCGGTCATGGAACAACGGAAGGTGTACGGCTTTGTATGCTATGTGCAAATATGCTCATCGATGTGGACGGTGTCTAGGGGATCACCGAAGCTCCGCGTGTACGTCTCGCAAGCGTAGTGCTCGTTCTGTTTCGCCTGTCAAGAACCGTAAGCGCTAGGCTCTAGGACTCGAGAAGTTATTGYAGTTTCTCAGTGGKACATTTAATTGCGGCTAACGTTTGAAWCAATTCTCACTTTTATAAGCCTGTTCTGTTGTTGCCTCTACGATTGGGTACTTTGTACTTTGAGTAGACAATTTTAGTCCACCGACCGTTTCTTGGTCCTTGTGTAATTCTATAGGATAAGCTCGGTTAGGTTTGTTGTACATGACTAGAAGAACTAGTAGCGTGCAGCCTTGTTGCCTCTCTAGCTTAATGGTCCGTATTAAAAACCGTACGTCAGATGTCCCTTGTATGCTTTGGTTTATGTAGTAGGGTAGTCACCCGCCCCCCCCCCCCCCCCCCCTTTGTTTTCTCTTGCAGCTTCACCAGTGTTCCCAGAGGTTTGGGAGGTCACGCCCTTACGTCCCAACTGCTTTGCTAGAGAATTGGCGAATCACCCTGACCAAGCAAAAGTCAGCTATGTCGTGGATGGCCTAAGGGGAGGGTTCAAATTGGGTTTCGCTGGACAGCACAAACTCAAATCAGCCACAAGGAACAAACCGTCTGCGTTACAATTCCCACACGTGATTAATGACTATCTGGGGAATGAGATTCAACGAGGAAGGGTGGGAGGTCCCTTTCTGTTCCCTCCGTTGGAAAACCTTCACATCAGCAGCTTTGGGGTAATCCCTAAAAGTGGTCAACCGGGGAAATGGAGGCTAATTGTGGATTTGTCTGCCCCTAAGGGATTTAGTGTGAATGAAGGGATTGACAGTGAGCTATTTTCCATGCAATATGTGAGGATCGATGAAATCATCCTAAAGGTAGCTAACCTAGGGAGGGGATCCCTGATGGCAAAATTCGATGTAGAGGCTGCATATCGCAATATCCMAGTTCATCCATCAGATCGTTTTCTCCTGGGTTTGAAGTGGGAAGGGAAATACTATGTTGACCTCGTACTCCCCTTTGGGCTTAGCTCAGCTCCCTATATTTTTAACTCCGTTGCGGACATGGTTGAGTGGATCCTGCACAACAACTATCGTGTGGACAACTTGGCCCACTACTTGGATGATTTTATTTTGGTGGGCCCGCCGGGGTCAACTATCTGTCATCAGGACCTCTGTACGGTTTACATAGCGGAAATGACGTCATTSGYGCTCKYACGAAAGTCCACTGTATTTTATGTGAATATTTGGGCACATGCGACTTCGTAAGTGTATTGAGTAACTGAGGATTTCTCCAAATTGATATCTCAATTGATTTCTTTCTTGTTTATGCTTGATTAATGAGATTTATCCTATTTTTATAGAAGCTATATCGCTATCCATGGCAATRTCTTGGACAATTTTTTAATGTATTGTTTCTTATTTCTGGAACGTCTTACTGTAGCAGCTGCTATATTTTGCTTTATTAGCCTTGTTATGTTGCTCACCGTGTATTAGGTGAAATARGMTTTCTTTGGAGCTCACATTTGGACCTCTCTACAGAGAACAAAGGAGTTTGGACTCATAGATTGCTTTGGCATGATGTCGCGTTGCTTAGCGTGATTTCCGTCACAATACCAAAATGCCATTTTTCGYAACYTGYTCACTATTAATTYGTAAACTTTTCCTACGAACGTATTGCTTTTGTAACGGCGATTCTTTTGAGCATAAACATGGCATGATTCCTTTAAGCGCGCATTAAATTTTTACAAATACAGTTTCAGACAATCGTGGACATAAATACTTGACAATTTTTCGCTGGAGCATTAAAAATACGGTATCGTGTGCATAAACTGAAAATATTMCCCTTCCCTCCCTCCCCTCCCGCATCAATGTTGCATGCAGGGGTTAATGAATGGACAACCAATGAAAAGAAAGCCACACAACATTGTATTTGGGGAAGGGGGGGCAAGAGTAAGGTTTTATCGACGAAGAATGTTAGAAATTTCGTGCGTGCGTAAAAATTGTCAACATTTATGTCCACGATTGTGGGTTGCCAATGACATTAGGACCATCACCTTCCCTTTCTTCTGGTCTGGGAAGAAGGACTTGATCAAGCGCAAGTCGATCATACTGCCTCTACCTCTAGGTCAAGGAGGATATGGTCTAGTGGACCCTCTTCTTAAAACATTCTCACTGCACGCCATGTGGATTCGGCGCTTGGGTGGAGCTACTGGAAAGTGGAGGCACCTATTTCTCTACCATCAACCAGCAACGCCTGGTCAGGTTCTAGCCCATCCAAGTCTATATTATAATAACAGGATCATTCCTCCCTTTCACGTCTCAGCGTGGAGTCTACTTGAAGGGCACACCAGTGCCAACCAGCTGTGCTTCAGGGATGGCGGGAAGTGAGTTCCTGTCATAACGGGTACAGCCAAGATGTTCCATCGGTGTCTTGTCCAGAAGGTGGCCGAGCCCCCTCACTGTATTTTTAAATATCAATCGATCTATGGTGATCTGTACTGGCCTCACACCTGGCAGCAGGTCCACTCAATTCCGCTTGACCGCAAGGTCAGAGACCATTCTTGGAGAGTGGCACACGGAGTTCTTTACACCGCTGACAGGCTTATCTCTTTCGGGAAGGACATTGATCCTCTGTGCTTCTGCAGGCAGGAAAATGAGTCAGCTGAGCACCTCTGTTACGATTGCCAATTCATCAGGTCGATCCTCCTCTGGGTGCAGACACTCTTTCTCAGAGTCACTCCGTTATCTCCTACTCTACGTCTGAGGCATCTCCTCTTTGGTTATAATGAGGAAGAGAGAGACATTGTGCCTCCTGTGTTCTTCTATTTACTGTGCCTTGTGAAGTACTTTGTTTGGCTGGCGCGCAACGACTACCGCTTAAACGGCAATGTGTCGGATGAGCTTAGTGTCCGTTCGAGAGCCTGCGCGCGCCTTGGAAACCATTTAAAGATTTATGCCAAGCGGTTCAAATCTCCGAGGCAGAAGAGGAAGTTCCATCGTGCGTGGAATGTTTTGGGCAAGTATTCGCCCGACATTCCCTCAATTACACTTTGAGCAACGTTCCTGAGAAGTCCTTAGTACTATGGCCCCATTTTTCAAGTATATTCGTCTATGACCACCAGATGGTGGTCTCTTCATGGTATCTGTATTGTGGAGCTCTTTTAGATCTTTTTGGGCTCTCTAAAATATATAAATCTATATCTTAAAACTTTAAAATTTAAACCAATTAAAACTTTCATTTCATGTCCTGAGTAGTATCTATGTATCGTATTGTGTATCGGTAACTTTCGTTGCTTCATGTTTTGAGATGCCCTAGGGCGTCTCTCGTGTCCTTACTTTTTGGGACCCCCGGTAAAAATACAAAAGGTATTAGGTATTAGGGCAAGTATCGCCAGTGTTCTGGTATTGGTCTTCCTGTGCTTTCAGAGCCTATAATAATAATAATAATAATAAATCTTTATTTATCCACGGTTAATCATCAGCTAACATACAATACGTAATTAAAAACACGCATACAATGTAACGAAAAACAAATATCAACTAAAAAAGCTGTTTTCCATGAATGCCGTGCCTTAAATTGTTTGTAATAATAGAATGATGTTTAAATTGCCTAAGGGACTCTGCCTGCCTTAGTTTACTTGGAAGGCTGTTCCATGCAATAGCTCCACTATAACTGAAGCTATTTTTACCATAGTTAGTACGTGGTAATGGAACATTGACTTTGTCGACAGAGTCCCTTAGTGCATATGAAGAAATGTGGTTACTAAATTTATTACAAAGATAATTAGGAGCAAGCCCATGTCGACACTTAAGAGCGACTGTCCAGAAAAATCGAGCAAAATCTAAAATATCCGGCCACAATGAAAATTTCAAATTCCTTGAAACTCAGATCCTGGACACCTTTCTGTGAGCCTACTAACGTGGTCTAATCGGTTTTTTGATCTACGTTGAGAAATTTGAGTTTTTGAGCAAAATTGGTTTTACCCCGATTTGGTCTAAAATTAGCATATGAGACCGCTAAAACTTGCAACTTTTTAAAAGTTATTTCTTCAATCAATTTAAATATTTTTGCGCAATTTTTTTACATAATCCGAAAGAATA